AAGCATTTGATCTTGTGTTTTTTACACTCGGCACCTATGAAACCGCCAAATCAGCTACCAGACAAACAACAACGCGGAGTACCAAAGTTCCGAGGCCGCATTGGTGGATCAGGTTCGCTGCATGCAGCTGTCACTCACAAGCGCGGGTGATCTGTGGCCTGTTGGCAAGGTCGCCAGTCGGCCTGGCGCGACTCTCCTCTCTCCCTTGTGAATTCAGTCTCTGTCTCTTGTTTCGCTGCATGCTGATTGATTACCGAGGGCGTGTTGATGTCTGGGGAAAGACGGGGTTCTTAAAGTCGGCGGAAGAGCCGACTTGAGGAGTAGAATTTAACCCCGGACAAACCACCGACTGTTTACAACTGCGGGGAAATCGCGTTGTGCTTTGTTGCAGCCTACCCTAAAGCCTGCTGTTCGGGTTTACAGTTCATCCTGTACTTAGGCAAATTCAAATAAAAAACTAATTATTTGCTTCATTGCAACTATTCTATTGATAACCCAGGTATTTAATTCTTGTAGTATTGCTATACTAGTTATGTTTAAGCGTAGTTCATATGAGTTAACGTTTACGTTCCAATTCACTCTGCTTTCCGCTTGAAACCAAGTACTGACAACGTCAACTCTCAGAACTGCCAATAAATTTCCAAAGAAGCTCCTAAACATCGGGTGTTGCTCCATTGTAATAGTGAATCTATAATCAATTAGATCTCTGTATTGCGGCATTGTTCTATAAAAATTGGAAACTTACTGTCTGATCAGCACAACCTGCTGGGGTCTGGTAGCCATATGCCCCTGTATTGATAAAGAGCTCTTGATTCTCACACACGAACCAGGCCGCGGTATTAGGTCTGGCGATCTGGCTTACGCTCCATGTCACAGCATCTCCTTGAAATGCAAATGTACCAAATGCATTTTTACCCGTGTCGAACCAAGTTTTGAGTTTTCTCTGGGTCAAATCTGTAGGCTGCTCTACCTGTAGGTACAGCTCCGAAGATCCGGTATAGTAGACAAGTTGACCGTCAATAATGTTGAACTGTCCCGCTCCTTCGGGTGCATCTAGATATGCCGTGGATGAGGTAGTAGCGGGTTTGCTCTGAAGATACTTATGGTAATTTGGTGCTGCGACAGCCCGGATGAAGTACCACCCATTGATCAGAGTTGGAACTGCTGCAGCTGCAGCCTCTACTGGGCTTGGAGGTAGAGCAGTTGCTCCATGGATAGCTAGAATCGCCGCGCAAATGTGTTTAAAGATCATTTTGAAATTTGGGGGAAAAGAAGAGTGTCTCGATCGTCTTTGATCTTTACATCAGAATAATGTGAGTCGATCCTATTTTATGTTTTCGATAGAGCTTATTATATACTGGATTGAAACCTCAACATGTGCCGGTTTTGTAGGCTCATCGGGTTGGTTGTTACCGTAGACCCGAAACAGTTCGGGGCAGCTACTCCGTTCCGGGCACCCGCTGTCTCATTATGGGAATAGATTTACACGATCAAAGAAACAGCACGTTGATTTCGAATGCTTTTGTAAATTTCTTCGGGACTTCGGGATTGTTGCCTCTGTCCCACTTGGGCACGTAGTACTACTCAATTGACAAAGACGGGAACGCTGCACAGTACTCAGAGAGATGGCCTTGCAGTAACAACAAATTGTTTAGAAGTAAACCCAAAGAAATGATGAAAGAGTAAAGATACCTAGGCTATGGGGGATCTTTAGTCCATGTATAAAATCGGATCTCGTATAAGCGTGGCGAGGACGCCAAGGTTGGATATAATTTTCATTTAACACTCAAACAAAAATAGGCACCAGCCTATGCGGAGTACCGCCTTACTTGTCTTACACTCGAAGGATTCTTGGATTCATATGCTTGTAATCTGCGTGATCCTGGTACCTGTGCTGGGCTATAGCCAAGGCATAATTAGATCCATAGCATCGTACCCTCTCTGGTCCCAGTTGAAACTTCTTGACATTCAATTGTTCTAACGTGCTTTCCTCTACTAAGGCTGAATTAAATCACAGCGAAAAAGCCTTAATTGATGCAGACATTACTTTCGAATCTGCCCAAAGCTGCCCGCCTTGCAAATCCAGTCTAGATTCACTAGGCTCGAGTAATTCATTCAATAGAAGACAACACTCCTTTACCCTCCTTTCATCAAGAATTCCTTTCCCTAAATGGCCATTCAATAGTTGACAGTTTTGTAGATATGAGAACGTGAAGCGTGTGTATGATTATGGTGAAGCAATATGTGAATCAAGCTTGTTATGTTCGCTTTTCACTTTTCGCAACTCTATGGAGCTGTGGGCGTAAGAAATCCATAGCAGGGAGCTCTTATTTTGTCCAACCAGAGTGGCTTGCATTGCTGGCAACAACCCTTGTCGTCCGAGCGCATTGCTGAATGTCACTGACCAATAAGCCGCGTCCTTTTATAAATCAGGGTAAAGTGAGTGCCTCTAGGACCTGTCGATCCCAAAGACTGACTTCCTAGCAACACCCTTGTAGCCTTGGCCGTAGCAGGGTGACAGTTTATACATAGCACAGGTACGCATTGAACGGGGACGGAAACTCCATGCGTCGACGGGGAGAAGACACACGGACGTCTTGCCTCAAACATGCCCCTTCCACACTTGTGGAGCTGACGGCCTTGGCCGAAATCTTACCCCCCGTCAGCCTCAAAATAATGGCAGGTGATATGATCATATGGCCTAGGACCAAAGGACATAAGCTAATAGTATATAAAGAACCTAGTCTTGCGTCAATCTGAAGGAAGTTGATCTCCATCCATCTCATCTTCTCGATACTTTCATCCCAGCACGCCGATTTCCTCCATTTTAGAGTTATAATCTATATTCCAAGCAAAATGCGGGCATTTTCTCTTCTGCAAATGGTGGCAGCGGTCGCTGCTTTGAAGGAGTGGGCTCCAGCTGGCGAATCCGACTCTCGCAGCCCTTGCCCCGGACTGAACACCCTCGCAAACCACGGATATCTGTAAGTTGATCCAGTCGACCAAGCTCTACTGGGTAGGATAGCTTCTAACCCCCAATTTAAACAGTCCTCATGATGGCAAGAAGATCGGCTTCACTCAGTTCGTCCAGGCCATCACGGAAGGCTTCAACTTTGACAGCTCGATCGGCCAGTTCCTCGCTGCCGGTGCCTTCCAGGTCTTCGGACTGGACACTGCCACAGACACACTTGACCTCGAGAAGCTGAACACTCCTGGATTCTTGGAGCACCCTGCATCTATGAGCCGTCAGGACCAGCCAGGCGGAGACAGCCTGCACGTTGACCCTGAGCGCGTGGAGGCTATGCTCGCAGACAGCTCCAACCCGTACCTCGACGTTTTCTCCCTCGCCACTACTCGTCGTCGCACTTTCGACGAGTCAGGTCGTCCCAACATGAGCGACACCATCTGGTCGATCATGTTTGGTGAGAGTGCCTTGACCCTCATTGCCATGAACAACAAGGAATTCCCCGCTGCGGGCTCCCCAGCTGAGGCTTACTACGGCCTGGAGGCACCAAAGGAATGGGTCAAGACCTGGTATGAGGAGGAGCGATTCCCAGAGGAGCTGGGCTGGACGCCTCTGGCTCGCCAGATCAACATGACCGAGCTGAGTGCCGTTGGCAGCGTCGTCAGAGCCGAATTCGCCAAATTATAAACTGGGCGGACTTCACCTGTCTACAAAGTTTATTTCTACGTTGGGCACGGCGAACATTCAAAAGTGGCTAGATATTAGAATGGAGGTTATGTGAAAGATGTTATAGCAATATGATAGAATTTGGGAGCATAATGCAAAGCGATGACTATTTTACCACTAAGCTTACACGATTGAGCGAACCATGAGCCTTGACGGACTGACTTTCTGTTTCTAGCAAGTCAATTGTTCAGAGAAGCCCAGACCACCAATCCCTGGCGGCTGAAACTCAGCCTGGTCCTGGAACGAGCCAGGGATTCAGCGTTAGTAACAGGACACTTTTCATTGGAATGTGGCCAATTCGGAGATCCACTGCATCAGCCGGGAGGATGCCAATGCTAACTCAAAGAAGATCTATTAACCCTGTCGATTTCGAAAACTACCGAATGGTAGATGAGCGCGACCTTTGCGATTTTTTATTAAGTATGGTGGCAACTGAAGGCATTGAATTTGAGATACTTAGGCATTAATACTAACACATAAAAAGTAATTCGGCCTTAATTACTGCTCTAATTGAGTGTATACTGCTGATTTTCCAACAAAGTGGTCTATTCACAGTCGCTCTGCCGTCAGATGTCTCATTTCTCCTGTAACCCACTTGCGTGGACCATCATGGCCACCCGGAGATCGGCGCAACTTGCAAAAAAGATGGACGGAGCCCGATCGACCGAGCCCTAACTTAGCAGCGTTACATTCCTAGTTTTCGTAACGGTAAGCATTGACGGAGTGGCCGGCTCAGTGTACATGCCCCCCTGGTCCAAAGTCGTTCCTGGCGCTGATTCTTGCCTTATGTAGAATAGGTATGCGTTTTATTAAGCTCCGAGTCCTGTAGGTGATTCTAGAGAGGCTCACTGCCGCCTTGTATTCCTCGCAGCAATCACACAAAATCAACTTAATACATTTTGGACATCATAGAAGGTCTGGATTCAGTCTAGACAGGAATACTAAGATAAGGCGAAGAAACACTTTGTCGGGTGAGACGGTGAACTTTCTCATACAATAATGCAAGGGCTATTCAGTCCTTCTCAGCTTCAACTTCACAGATACGTTAAGGTCGCTCCGTAGATACCTCGGGGTCAGCCTTTGGGGTCAAGGAATCAAAAAGCTCATCCATCCTTTCCAAGCTCAGTCCTTTGGTCCCAGCGATAAAATTCCAAGTAAACAAAGTCATGATGGCACAAAAGGAACCAACTATGAAAAACATTCCCTGTTGAGAATTAGCATCTTGCATTTAAATGTAAATTCAGGAGATTTTGGGGAGCACACGTATCCGGCGGTACATCCGAATGCTAATTAAGCTCCAGTTGGCCTATCATAATCCCATCTCCCCAAGTCCGTGTTGAAAATCAACGTCAGTGACTCCGGGGAAGAACGACCCAAGAAAATATCCCTCTATGTCTGTCATTGCCGCGGCATCAGTATTGTACTGCATTGTGTCAACGGCTCTTTGGTCCCAATCGTTTAGGACATAGTTCCAGTGATTTTGTCCTCTATCTGTAGGCCATGACATCTGGGAATTTGTTTCGTCCCCCATAGAAATGATGTTACTATTCGAGTCAACAGTAGCAGGAACGTCGTGACTTGCCGGTGGGGTTCGTGAGACAGTGCCGTCATGGAATAGCCGTTGAGAGTCTGGAGATCGCCATATTCTTCCCAGCATTACACTGTATCGGCGGCAGAGGTGCAATTCATCCTGAGAGATTTGCTCCAATTTCGAGATAAATCTCTCCGCTAATTTTGAGTTCTCCCGCCTCTGGGCGACTGATTGAAACGCGCCTGCGCACTGAGCCTTATACAAGAAAACGGCGGCGTACACACCGTACCTTTTACATCTGCACTTAGCTCAAGCTTACACAGGTAGTAGTTCTTGAATGGAAGAGGCTTACAGATAAAACCGAGTCGGTAAGAAGCGAAGAGTATTTCTAGGATGGAGCTGATTCATTAAACCTAGAATCTTCCTTGCACAGCTGATTGCCTCATACACATACGGGCCATCTGGTGAGGACATGAGACCCCCTGAGAACGGAGCTACCGAAGAGACGCCTTTGCCAGCGGTGGCCTCTCTATGTTGAGAGCATGCGCCCGAGGCTCTTGTAAGCACGGCTTGGAATGAAAATGCGTTGACGTATAAGCACACATACTCATACAAGAGGAGAAGAGTGGCTTTGACGTTAGATGAAAATTTACCCCCATTCCATGCTGCATACCAGTTTGTAGTCGATCGCTGAAAGTCGTCCAAATACCTTGCATAATCACCGTCGTTAACCATAGCTAAAGTCCTCTCCGTCGAAGAATACAGAATCCCATGTGCGTTGTATAAGATCTGTGTCAGCTCAGTTTTAGCTTGCAACGCAGAAGCAAGATCTTCTTCTCCCATTCCTGGTAGGGATTTGAGATTTGGGAAATCTTCATTCGTGAGTTTCGAAGATAGAGACGGGCCGCGAGACCAGAACGACTGCCCCATTCGTACAGAAATTTGTCTCTCTATTAGATAAATATCTATTGGAGAATCAGTAAACTATCGTCGCTGAATTCAACCAGAAGAAGGATTCATACACGTCCAAATCAAACGGTTTTCTTCTTCTATCTCAGAAGCTTTACGGCACTCTGTTGATCCTGCGGAAGGAAAGGCAGCACGATCCAACCGTAAAAGGTAACCTTGTCGCACAGCGAGGCCAATAAGGGACCACGCAGATCGGTCCTCACCAAGCAGGCTCTTGGGGCTTTCTGTGACATCCTGTTTCATCTGATATGGAATCCATTCGGCAAGTAGTAGTATGGCTTGTACTGTCCTGGGCGTCTGTGCCCACGAGTGGGCTAATAAAACCTCTAGAAGCAGCCGCTGAGCATGGTCCCAGCAGTACCGATGGACTAAAACATGTGCGGGCATATCCCTTGAGGCAACTGCAAGGATGGCAGTGAGGAGAAAGTAGTCCGACCTTCGAATTTTAGTCATGGCCTCCGGACCTAGCATATACGGTGGAACAATAGGACAATATGGATGGTAGTTCCGTGCGTAACTGTTGCTTATTTAGCATCATGTCAGGATAAAATATTCGATATCCAAGGGTTTCGCAGACTGACAAATGAAGCAACTTGGGTAGAACACTGGGGTGTAATAGTCCCCGCTGCACGAGTTCGTAATCATCCAGTAGTACAGTAGACGCTTCGTCATTCTCTTGAGTAGTTCCCCTGGGATTCGTACGATTCCCCGAATTAACTGAAGCCATCGTAAATGGCGAATGAGATTGTTTTTGAGAGAGACTTGGATTTGAAGGCGTATCGGCATCGGCCGTACGCCACTGCTTTTCGCTACGACCCTGTCCATCGGTACTATCTCTCGCATGTGCTAGGATTTGTAGAGCATCTGAAGGGTTCCGAATTTCCATGTGTAAATTATTGGCCTCCAGTGTCTCCCGAGACTCAAAGTCTTCGCTCATGGCGGAGCAGTTGTTAGAAGGGGATGTCAGACTGGGGCCTGGTGCGTCTGGCGATGAACCCTCGAAGGGACCAGCATCGCCACTATTGTCGTCTATAGTCCTACGCCCATGAAATAAAGGGCTGGTCTGAAGGGTTTGTTGCCTTGTCCTTTGGGAAGCGGCTGCGCCACGGCGTGATTCCACCAAGATGCATTCGTTGCGGGTGCGGTGGCAGGATTCACATGGGGGTCTTTTTGGCTCCCCAACACCGTCACTAAAAAGAGCCAAGTTACGTCAGTGACAAATTGGGGAGAGTTGGCTCGGTACGGGTCCAACTATACAGATTGCATTTCGTCTTACGCCGGCGGCATCTTAGACATGCCCGCGATATACGCTTACCAGTCGGTGCTGTCATTTCCAGTTGTCGGTATCAAACGTCGGTTATGATTCAAATCATGCGCAACGGCGGCTGTGGTGTACCAGAGACTCGGCTTTGATTTTAATGTGTCACCAGCTTCGGGAAGAACGCATCGGCAAAGGGTCATCGGCAAAGGGTTGGAATCAATGATGCCGAAGTGCGGAGTCGCCAGGAAAAAAAGGGGCTAACTTAGTCCCCCGCATTCATACCAACACAACACATCTAGCACACTTGAATACCTTTGACAAAATACCCCAGATCTTTCTGTATGGGGTGTAATATCGAGGAGATATCTAGGTACACTATCTGCAGTCTCGACAATAGATCTGACCCACCAAATGAAAAGTGATTAGTAGCTCTGCGAGATATGGAACTTCTGCCTTGATCATCCTCCTCATCGGCCGGTCCTCTACCAATAGAGAAACCCTGTCTTTAATCGCCAACAAGTTGTTCTTCAGGGTAGACCTTGACGGACGTCAGTGTGCTCGTTAAGACCCCACGCTTGAGTACTATCGTCGTGAACCGTTGCACGCCTCATATCTCGCCGATACTTGTTGGCAAACTCTCCACCCATGGCTCTGTGCATAGTGCACGTATTGTCCCAGATGACCAAGTCTCCAACATTATCCCAATCTACAGTGATCCTGTATTTTGCTTGGGTAGCATGGTTGAAGAGCTCATTAAACAAGGCCTGGGACTCCTTGGAGCTTATGCCCTCGATGTGGTGAATATGAGCCGCGAGGTAAAGATTCATTCTACCCGAGGCCTCATGCTTCTGCGCCAACTTATGTCTGCCCATAGGATGATCAGTAGGCTCTATATCTGCAAAGTGCTCTGGGGCCGCAAGCTTTTTTGAATGCAGAATAGAGTGGCATGCAATGTAATCTGCTTCGAGCAGCTCACTTTTCTTCGCCTCTGCAAGGTCATCCCACGCCGCTCGCGTGTCCGCAAACTCGGTGCTGCCGCCTGTTCCACGAGGGGGCAGCTCATGTGCTAGTAGGAGAGAATATCCCGCCCGGCGAGGATTGAAACTGGAATCGACGTGAAAGGAACTGTTGCCCTTGTTGGCTTGAGCGCGAGGGCTCAGTGGATCAAGGATAGAGCCGTCCAACTCAACATTGCTGACGTCAAAGAGCTCATCGTACTTTAGGCGGTTCGGCCTGCCAGCTTTCAGGTAGGGCTTGATATCGTCAAGCTCCCCGAACATTCGAGCTAATTGAAGATGGGTTTCATCTATCAAATTTGTCTTGCGGATGACAACGACACCGTACTATAAAAAAATGAAAATCATAGTCAGCAATCTCGAAACGTAAGAGTAGAGGAAGTGTATTAACCTTCACCACTAGCTCCTTGATTTGTAGGGACATGCTTTTGGGCACCCCTTTACTAAAATCGCATCCAGTCACCTCAAGCCCAAAACCTGGGCTAAGCTCTCGGTATTGCGGGGCAAAGTTCGAGACTGGTACCCGTTCCGTGATTGTACTGGTTGTTGATGCCATGATTGCTAGGTGTTGAGTTACGAAATATAGGGAGAGCTTGGGTTGAAGTGGGGCCTATGTTGAGTTTTGTTGTTCGTAGATTCTGTTGGATACTGACTGCTATTTGGAAGTGTGGGTTTCTGATGATTCCTTGGAGCACTTGGGGACAATAAATACAGGGAAAAACGCCATGATATCTCGGAAGCCCGAGTTTCAGTAGCCAGAGTGCAAGATCACCGAGTTACATCATTCTATTACATCGGAACATATTTCGGTAAAGGGAAAGAGCTGTGCTGTGCCGGTTATGGAGTTTTGCCCCTCGGAGCTCCTGATTCTCACTTTGCCTTCTGATGACTCCCGCGGCAGACTCTAGCGCCTATCCGCCGCTTTTCTTAGACGATTGATCGCGGACCGAAGCTAATCGACTACGCTCAAGGGCTACATTTGGTCTCTATCCTACTACTATGAATGGTCTGCTTAGATGCCAATGCTAGAAAGCCAAAGGCCGAACCGAAATGGAGTTCATCGGCTATGGGCCCCACACATCGGCTATTCCAAACATCGGCTATGCAGGCATCGAAGCAGGCGCACATCTGGGATTGCCTCTGTCAGTATCATCCCGAGCCCCATTTGATTAAAGATGGTTGGATCGGAAATCCCCATCAAGAGTAGCTGTGTCTTCGACAACCGTGTACATGCTCCTCGTTTTTATACGCCGGAGAGAACCCATCATTGTATGATTCTACCACTTACTAGTTCGAGAACTCTTCAAGACTGACCTTCTTCACGCGCCAGGCCTGCATCGCACTTCTATATGTGAAAAATATATAGCAGATCCATCATGACTAAAGATAGTTTAGTGTGCTTATTGATATTGCATTTCTGCGTTCCTACAAAGGCTGTTTAGCCATGCCCTCAGTCTTCAAACTAGGGCAGATGGTGATATGCCATTCTTAGCAGCATTATCAGACTTGATAATTTCACTCTACCTTTGAGCGAGTTATGTCTCACTTTGTAAACCTGTATAGCTTACTAACTATAACTAGCTACAACTCATGTACGTAAGAGATGGATAAAGTCTATATTATTAGAAACTAAAGCGGTGAGTCGTAAATAGTTAAAGTCTTTCGCTTTTTCCCCTCAGGGTACCGAACCACGTATGCCTCTATACCTTAAGCAAGTGGCCCTCGGGATTTTCCCTTACAGGACCTACTTAAGAATATAGAACCAATGAGACTTCGAGTGTGACTAGAACTTTCAGATTAAACAACGAGTAGGAGGTGCACTGTGTCACGGAGAGCGGAGCAAGGGGAAACAAGACGGTTGTGGTGTTATGTGATGGCATGCAACACAGTTTCCATCAAGTGTCGGGGAAATGAATAAGAATATCATCATTCAGGTAATAATGAACCGCATTCTCCGAACGCATACTCCCGGATTGCCGGCATCAGTGGCTAGAAATGCTGTCAACACATTCGCCACGCAAGCATGTCCTCGCAATATGCCTAAACAGGAACCATGCATTCAACGTACCTTTGAGCAGAATCAGGATGATCGGTGAAGTGCCTAGTTCACGGGCATATCCCAGGAGAGACGTTCACATTTTGTTCGGTACGGAGAGTAGAACAGTAAAATGAGGCATGAACCGACGTGCCAGGGTTGAGAATGCCACAGTCGACGAACGGGCTGCCGGCCGGAGATATGCTTAACGGATCGGATTTTGCGCTCCGCGGATTCGGCCTGACGATCAGAGACCATCACCGTTAGCTTCTAGCCACATGAAGTAGAATCCTTCATTGCGTGATACTATACAACCTACGTACACCAATGTCGCGGATTGCATATAGATATTAGTGTTATCATGCTCTTGAACTGGGGGCGTGCATGCAAGAATCTCATCCTTACTACTTCATTTCTATCGGCCTCATCTCCATCATTGACCATGTATCGTCACTTCACGGTTTGCAGCATCTTGCTGGCTACGCTTGTTGGAGCTACAACGGGTAGTAACCACACCGAGCACGAGTATGTTGTTGTCGGATCAGGACCAGGCGGCGGAACTTTGGCGTAAGTTTTCACTCGATGTCACTGAAACTTTTAATCTAATGTTCCCTGGCAGGGCGAACCTTGCCCGGGCTGGTCATTCGGTTTTCCTAATAGAAGCAGGAGGCGATCACGGAGATGAACTGCTCCAACGAGTGCCCGCTTTGTGAGTGGATCTACTTATCAACTATAATAGATACGAGCGGATATTGATTCAAACTTTGCAGTAGCGGCAATGCGGCAGAGACTGCCAACCAGTCCTGGTCCTTCTTTGTGAGCCATTACCAAGACGAGGCGCAAGCCAGGAGAGACGACAAATTCACATACATCTTTCCCAATGGCTCTTACTATGTCGGTCTTGATCCTCCCGAGGGCACTACGCCGTAAGAAGACCGATACAAAGCCCACTTCACATTGTTTGCTCAACAAACTAACGATCAAAAAGACTGGGCATTTTTTATCCTCGAGGCAATACTGTCGGAGGTTCCTCCCAAGTCAATGCCATGAACTTTGCCTTGCCTCCAGATAATGACTGGAAGTATATTGCAGAGCTGACTGGTGATGATTCCTGGCTGCCCGAAAGCATGCGGCAGATATACATCGATCTGGAAAGAGCCCATTCTGTCCCTGCGGGCACCCCGGGCCGTGGCTTCGATGGTTACATCGCGGTATGTGTGACAAATCCCGTTCATTACTTCAGTCAGATCGAAAGAGGACTGACCAGTATTCACCCACCTCCCACAGAGCAATCTCAATAATGTCTCATACGTCGCAAACACAACAGGCGTAGCCGCTGTAGTCCGTGAAGGAATCCACCGTCTCGAGGGAATCGAAGTTGAAGACCAAACTCATCTTTCTGAGCTTCTGCAGAGAGAAATCAACGCGCTCGACACTCCCATGTATGGCAACGGCTCGTGGTTTCAGATGCCAGTTCATGTCGACTCTCTGCGTCGGCGAAGCGGTGCACGAAACTTTATCATAGATACGATTCAAACGGAGAGCGAAGACGGGTCTCAAGCATATCCCCTCACGTTAAGCACCCACAGTCTCGCCACTAAAATCTTGTTTAAGCAAGACGGCGGTAAGCCAAAGGCGGTGGGTGTGGAGTATCTCAAGGGCGAAGGTCTCTATGCAGCAGATAGACGTTACGACGAGAATACCAGCGGCGAGCTTCGAAAGGTCTTTGCATCTCGAGAGGTCATCGTTGCGGGGGGCTCGTTCAATACTCCTCAGATTCTCAAGTTGAGTGGCGTCGGGCCTTTCAAGGAACTCAAGGAACTGGGTATTCCCGTTGTCAAAGATCTGCCTGCCGTTGTAAGTCGACTTGCCGATTTTAGCATCTGCGCTGGCCCATGAACCGTTCTCAATCTGACCACGCACTTATCCAGGGCAACTACATGCAAGACAGCTACGAAGGCGGGGTCCGTGTCCGTGCTTCAGCCGACTGGGACTTCCCCTATGACGCGAGATGTTATTCGGGCTCAGACGAGTGTTTGAATGAGTGGCTCGACCACGGCCAGAGCATCCTGGGCGAGGCTGGCGCTCCCCTAAGCTTCACCTATCGCCCCAGCGTTTCGGAAAACGAGGACTCTGATCTCTTTTTCTTCGGTACACCTGGAGCCGTGTTTACTGGCTTCTTTCCTGGCTACTCGACGTCATTCGTGTTTGACCCACCCGTCTTCACCTGGTCTATTGTCAAGATGCAAACGGGAAAGACTGCAGGCACAGTGACTCTCAAGTCCAGCAACCCACGAGACGTCCCCGTAATCAACTTCAACTACTTCAAGGAGATGGCTGATCGGGACCTGCAAGCGATGGCCGAGGGTGCAAACTACATCATTGAGGTGTTTCAAAACCTTGGCTCGCCATACACGCCAGTGGAGGTCATTGCGCCAAATCCAGAAGACGTGAACCAAGCTCTGATGATGAGGCTTTCAGTCACCACGTCACGTCAACCTGCCGCATGGGACCAAAGGACCATCCGGACTACTGCGTCGACAGCACATTCAGAGTCAATGGTGTCAAAGACCTTCGGGTCGTCGACGCATCCGTCTTCCCCCGCACCCCTGGCGGATTCCCCGTTGCGCCTACTTTTATGATTGGCCTCAAGGCAGCACGCACAATCTTGGCTGAGCTTGAGGTTTCCGAGTCAAATTAAATACTACGAAAATTATCCGCATCTTTCTAGACATTCCACCTGATCTTACTTGAGCTGCAGAATCTTGGAGACGTAAAAGAAGCGAGGCGAGAACGGGAAGTAAATCCGGAAAACATATAAAATATGGTTACTAGTTGGAAAACGAGGCTCTCTAGTTGCCCTCAACGGCAGACGTTCAATAGAGTCGGTTTGTATAGAATGGACCCAAGGTCTTTCAACAAGAATAGGTCTCTTGATAAAGCACATTTCTCAGTCCCTCGTTTAGGTCTTGCAAAGCGTACATTCCTAAAGCTCAACACCTCCTTCCGTAAACTTGGATTGGTACAAAAAAATGTAGATATAACACGAGCTGTACCACAAATTTCGATGCATATCTACTAGCTACCTATTTACAAACATCTCCATCATTTGGTGCCAAATGGGATGGAACTCTTCCCCTCTCGTTTGAAGAGAGCGGTACAAGGCTTGATAGATTAACGCCAGGCGGCGACAGGACAACGGTGAAACAGGAATCGCTCTTTGGTAAGCCTGCCTGGCCAACGAGAAGAGGGCCACGATCTCTGCATTTAGAGATTCTTGCATAGTCTGGAGACTTGCGTCGCCAATAATTTCCTTGTTGTGACCTTCCCTCTCATCACTATTAAAAATGCAGATGACGTTGCTTATAGTTTCTGCCATGCATAAGTTGCTCTCTGCCGCCCATCGAAGTTTATCAAGTAGGTTCAACATCTCAATGTTGACGGATAGATAGGCCAATGCATCCTTGCAAAGGAGAACCGGATGCGGTGTCTCGATTGGCAGCGGCTGTCCAGAACGTAGCAGCCCAAAGTGGTGTTGCGGTATAGGTAAATGACCTCTTAAAGCCAGCCGCAAACATTTCAACGTCTCGGTGAGCTGCGTAAGATTCGACTGATCATAATCAGCCGTGCTTATAATGTCGCTAATGCGGTTTCGAACAAGCGACAGAACGTCGAGGTGTTGGAAATGCTCGACGATCAGTTGGAGATGGGAGCCTTGGCCATCACCACTTCCAGTGGGATCAACAACGGCGATCCAGGCGGGCTCGCACATGAAAGATGGTTTTCTCTGCATCAGGGCATGGCTCGACTAGGGATCAAAGTCAACTCTCATACGTTTCCACTGGTGAGTAGAAAGGGGGGCGGGAGTTTGTCTCACGATCAGGCCATGGTGCGCAAGCAAAAGTGCTCGGTCAAAGCCAGTCATATGTACGCCTGGACCACGAAGTTGAATCAAGTCGGCAGAGGCCATGGAATGCGCAAGCCATGCCGAGCCTTTCCTATTAACTAAGGTCTAGTTTTTCCGCCAGCAATGTTAGCAGCGGAAGGGGACGGCACGCATTCTCAACACATTGACGTACCTCATACCAGGAAAGGCAAATGGAAGCGCAGAGTGTCTCAGCAGACATTGCCTCGGCGGGATCGGACAGCGATTTGCGCAAGCTGCTCAACGCCTTGTTATAGTGTAATGAGTGGGCTAAGGGCCTTAGTGAAGCAAATGCGGTGTAGGCAGCACACAGACACCTGACTGCCGTGTCAAGAGCATCACTCACACCGAGTCTTGGGGGTACTAGAGTTATGAAGGACCCGATCTCATGGAGAGACAAGGCTGGGCTGGTGGATGAGAGGCAGTCAACCAGCTGCAGCGCGACTGGCGATATGTGGAGTGCTGGCGACAAGATACTCAAAGGAGGAGAGCGAGAAGAGCTACTATGGTTTTCCTTGGGCCACACGCGGCATCGGCTTGACCGGCCGGTAGGCGATGGAAGAGAGATAAATTCTTGAACAGGACTTGTCTGGATCCAAGCTGAGGCATCCAAAAAGTCGGCCGGAGTGCGAAGCCTCTTCTCCCTGGATGGCGATTCTGTGAACGTTCGTCAGCATCCATCCATCTCCATCAAAATGACGCTTCCGGTAGCTAGGTAGGCAATGGTTGCCCTTACTTTGTGGCCCAGTATGCCCAGATCTCTTCTTTTTCGGTCTCACTGCCGGGTAACCAGGGCAGTGCCATTGGTATTTGACGCATTGAGAGCATGCAGGAATCCTTCGATCACACTGCGAGGCGGCTTGTGAGTTCAATTCTTGGGGAGGGAGCGAGGGTTGGTTTGCGCGTCACCTTTACTTTACGAGCCTGGCAGACGGCACAAGACTTTGGGACCCCCGGCATGGTGACGGAACTCTGGCACACAGTAGAGTATCTGGCGGGCAGTACCGTTGGTCGAGCCGCCGGCTGATGGTCTGTTGTCCAGGATCAAAACGTCGAAAAGAGGACTGGAATTGTCCGGATGATAGCGTCACTGCTAAAGGCAGGGGATAATCTCACATCCCCCATGTAGCTAGCTCCGTACAAGACACCCACTGCTAAATGTCAGCAGCTTTGTTATTAGTTAGATCACCTCCATTCTTTATGCCTTCCATGGCCCAGTTGCTTCATGGTGGAGCATCTTGTGCATTCATTATTGGCTGCCTCGGAGAATGGGAACCGCCTGTCAAACAACATCCCCACTCACAGAACTCCCTAGAGCGAGAAGTTGCGCCTCCATGCAAGATCGTGAAGAGTTTACAGAAGACCGAAAATATATAAAAGGATGACCGGCTGTACCAGATCTTTGGCGACATATTCACCCTTGGTTGCTTGATAATGCAACTACTTGCTAGCAGTATCTAGCAACTCTCTTTGATCATTGAAACGCCAGTATTACAGTTTGCGATCTACACCCGTCGAGAGTATCATGTCACCAGAAGTGGATTGGAAAGCCAAGGCTGCCGCCAAAGCTGCGTCGATTTCTGATGCCATCCCCGAAACATGGCGAATTCCCGAACCAATTGTCACTGCTGATGCACAGCGAGACATCACAGGCCCATATCTGCACAAGTATCTAACGGGAGACGAGATAGAAATCACGGAAACCAACGCTGTTGGGATTGTCAGGAAAGTCGCGGATGGCGAATGGCGTGCCGAGACCGTCGCTCGAGCTTTTTGTCATCGAGCAGCTTTGGCTCATCAATACGTGAGCTGGGCATTTTCCTAACCCGGCCCCTTTTAACCGCAAGGCAAGCTTACGCAAAAACTAGGTCTCTTGCTTGCATGAGGTGTTCTTTGATGCGGCCATCCAGAACGCTGTTGCCCTCGACGAGTACTACCGCCAGCATGGCAAGCCGATCGGGCCGCTCCACGGACTGCCCGTCAGTCTCAAAGACCAAATGCACGTCAAGGGGGTCGAAACAACCATGGGCTACGTGGGGTGGATTGGGACCTTTCAGGGCAAGCAAGGCACTGGCCTTGAAAAACAATTCGAGAGCGAGATCGTGACGGAGTTGCGTAGTTTGGGTGCTGTGCTTTACTGCAAAACTAGCGTTCCGCAGACTTTGATGTCGGCCGAGACAATGAACAACATCATCGGATACACATTCAACCCCAAAAACAGGAACCTTAGCAGTGGCGGCAGCTCAGGCGGCGAGGGTGCCCTCATCTCCTTGCGAGGCTCCCCCATCGGCTTTGGAACTGACTACAGTGGAAGCATCCGCATGCCGGCCGCGTTCAACGGGCTCTACGGCATCCGGCCATCTAGTGGCCGGCTTCCTTACCAAGGCATGGCCAATTCTATGGACGGGCAAAACACAGTCCTGTCCGTTGTAGGGCCCCTGTCGCACAGCCCAGCCGACCTCAGACTAATGCTCGAGTCAATCCTCAGTCGACAGCCATGGCTTCATGACCCTGCTGTCGTAGAAATGCCTTGGAGGCCTGACATAGTTCAGGCCACCGAGAAACTAGTACACAGTGGCCAAAGGCTCGTCTTCGGTATGATGAGCTGCGATGGCGAGGTGCAACCCCATCCCCCCATTCTCCGTGCTCTCGCTCTTGTGCAGAAAGCTCTGAATTGTCAAGGCCACGACATCATAGACTGGGCTCCACCGTCTCATAAGCTAGCAGTTGACATTGTGCAGACTTGCTGGCTGTACGATGGGGGTGAAGATGTCCACCACAGCTTTGGGCTGTCTGGAGAGCCGATCGCCGAGCAGATTGGCTGGATATATGGCTCGCAGGCCCGGGAACAGATGAACGCAAGTGACATTGCCCGCAACAACGTTGCCAAGAGAGACTACCAAAAGGAGTATATGGAGTATTGGAACAGCACTTCGGAAACATCCGGCACTGGGCGGCCAGTTGAGGCTGTCATCATGCCTGCAGGCGAGGCAGTGGCGACGCGTCAAGGTTGTGCCACGTACGGCGGTTATACGACTGCTCTAAGCGCGCTTGACTGGACCGTGGTAACGATACCGATAACCACTGTCGACAAAGATGTTGATCCCGTTAACTCGAGCTTTTCATCCCTGAGCGACTTTGACGCACTTATCCAGCAAGGATGTATGTCCAAGTCGAATTAGCATCTGCGGTATATATACGAAGCTAACATTTTCACCTGACAGACATCCCGGAAACTTATGATGGCGCACACGTATCGCTTCAGTTACTGGGGCGCCGGTTCCAAGAAGAAAAGCTGCTGGTCTTGGCTGACTATATTGGAAAGACTGTCGCATCCTACATCTCAACCTCGCTTGGAAAAAAGTAAGTTTTCAAATCTGTTGTAGGGCTCTCGCCATGGTGGTCATGCAGCATATTGGAGTATCTGAGTGTTAGAGAAAATCATATATCTGTAGCTTAGTATAAGTGTACGGTGACAGCTGTGCAAAGAGAAACTAACTCATCTAAGGTACTACCTGCCACACATGAACTTGATGAAATTAAACGTGCTATAGCAGTATACACATTCAATTAGACAGGAGACTCTTGTTATACTAACATGGACGGCTTTTGCATTGATACTATCGCTACATCGAACCGCTTAGTCTAGCCGCAACTCTTGGGAACAGAGAAAGAACATTAGTCCCAATAGCGTTAATCTCCTTCTTACTTAGCCGCTCATAAATAAGTAGAGCAGCCTTGTTGGCCTCCATGGTCTCCTCGGTCGAGCAGGCAACACCGCAGTCTGCACCGTACACTATATGTGAAGGCGATGTCATCTCCAGAGCCGGGCCGAGGCCGGACGGGCATGAGGCCGCCGTGTCAAGGTACAAAGAGCTCAGCTGGGTCTTGATGTCATCGGGAGTGAGGCCTCGCGGATTGGGAACCCAGCTCGCACAACCGAGGAGCTGAAGGCGGCTGGCAAGAACTGGCAGCGTCCCTCCACAGTGGGCAACGATGAACTTGATGCCGGAATACTTTGCAAAGTGTCCACTATACAGCATGGAAACAAGTGTCCGGCAAGTCTCAAAAGCTACCTCTATCAGAGGCTGGGGCCGTCCAAGTGTCGGCGGCGCCACGGCATTGGGATGGACAAAGACCACGGCTTGAAGCCGATTCAATTCCTCCCATACAGGATCTAGCTTGGGGTCGCTTAGGTATGTTCCTTTGTAGCAGCATGTGACAGCATACCCGTCGGCCTTGAGGGGTCCCTGAGCCCGAACAATTTCAGAGAGTGCGTTTTCCGGAGTCTCGGTGGGTATTGCAGCCAGCAGGCCAAATCTGGACGGGTGCTGAGCCACAATGGACGCTCCGTAGTCGTTGGATGCTTTCAAAGCATCATGTGATCCCGGGATGTTGCTGAGGAACTGGAACTTTATGTTTGCCTTGTCCATGTACGACAGTGTGTCCTGGTATGTCCATTCCCAGCGTTCAGATAACAAGAAGCAATTCTTGTTGGCGAGATCAAAAAAGGACTGACGTGCCTCTTCGGACATTGGGGGGCTAAAGTGGCCATGAATATCCACCCAGCCGTCGACACCCATTGTAAGATAATAGGAGTGAGAGTTTCTGCTTGCCTGTGATTATCGATGCTACGGCAGAGCCTACTATTACTGGACATGGTGGCTATTTATATTATGTGCCGTCTTTTCCAACCGCAACCTACTACTAACTGAGGTTGTCATTATTAAGTGATATAAATGATGGATTTATGATCAGCCTATACAACACCATTCTCCGAAGCAGCAAATCAGCAAGTCCACGGATGCCTGTTCGTCCGCAGCACCCAAAACGCCGAGACTGTGATCTGACTAAGACTCGGCCGATCCGGCACTCCGGCGGCGACGATCACAAGGCTGTCCCATTCTCCGAGGCAGCGAATCAGCAAGTCCCCGAAAGGGTAAGAATGGAGAGAGAAAAGGTAGTACTAGAAAAAAGTGCCAAGAGTTCGTTCCTTCTCCACAGCATCAATCTCTACTCATCGCCGACTAGGCCTTCTTCTCTCCGCTGGTTTGACCCTTCAGTTCCTCCTCAACCTTGGCCCAAAGACCCTTCGCCCTGAACCCAGAGATCCAGTAGTTACCGTGTTCATCCTTGCCGCTGATTGGCCACCCCTCAGGGAATGCAGGATCTTGCACGCACTGTATGTAAGACGCGCGCAGC